AGACCCGAGGAGAACCACGTGTCAAGCACGTCCTCGTCCTGAAGCACCGATACCTGAAACCACCTTCACTCCTCCTCCTCCCTCCTCCCCTTCCTGCCTCCTCCTTCCCTCCCTCCCTCCCTCCCTCCCCTTCTCAATCCCTTTCTCCTGCTTCTTCCTTGCCTAGCCACCACCTCCTCCACCAGCAGCACTACCACCTCTCCTCCTCCTCCTTCTCACGTTCTTCCCCGGGAACTTCTCCTGTGCAGCCTTGAGCGCTTCCTCCTCCGAGGACGCGACGATCCATCGGTCGAAGTTCTCGTCCTTAGGAATCTTCCGCTCCTCCCCCTCCATCATCGTGTAGTACGCAGGAATCCTGTGCCCCCACCACAGCTGCCTGGAGATGCACCAGTCTCGGATGTTCCCCAGCCAGTCGAACCACTTCCTCTTGTGCTGGGCGGGGAGGATGTTGAGCCTGCCGTCGTTGACCGCCTCCATGGCGTCTGCCGCCATCTGCTTGCAGTCGACCCACCACTGGGGCTTCAGGACAGGCTCGATGACGTCCTTGGTGCGCGAGGAGAGGCCGAGGCGCATGCCGGGGTTAGGACGGGAGCCCTTGTAGAGGCCGAGGGCAGTGAGATCCTTAATGATCTCGTACCTGGAGGCGAGGTGAGGGACGGAGAGGGAGGAGGAGGGGGAAAGGAGGAGGAGGGGGAGGGGAGAGGAAGAGAAGGTAGGAGAGAAAGGGAGGGGTAAGAGGAGAGGGGAGGGGTAGGAGGAGAGAAGGGAGGGCTGCTGTGTGCCTTGCTCACCTTGCCTGGAACCTGTGCATGCCTTCATACTTCTTCCCGCAGTTCGCATTCAACGTGCCATCGTCGTTGAGGATGTTGACAAATTCCAACTTGTGCTTCTGCCCAGTGACAAAGTCGTTGGGATCGTGAGCAGGAGTGACTTTGACGGCTCCCGTCCCAAACTCCATGTCCACCAGCTCCGCATCCAGTACGATCGGCATCTTTCTGCCGGTGATGGGGTGGAGGAGGAACTTTCCGTGCAGGCTCTTGTACCTCTCGTCGTCGGGGTGAACTGCAACTGCAGTGTCTCCGAGCATCGTCTCAGGACGAGTCGTGGCGATCACTACTTCCTGTTCCTCTCCGTCCACCTTGTACGCCCACTCCCAGAACATGCCGAACTCGACCTTGCGGTCGTAGCCGGGGACAGAGAGCTTCTCGGGCTGCTCTAGAGTGATGTAGTCTACCTCCAGGTCAGACACAGCTGACTTCAGCTGGGCGTCCCAGTTGACGAGGCGCTGGGCCCTGTAGATCAACCCCTCCTTGTGCCAGCGCATGAAGGCTTCCTTGACAGCTGCCGACAGCTTGTCATCCATGGTGAACGCCTCCCTGCTCCAGTCAAGAGACGCCCCCAGCCTCCTCAGCTGCGAGCAGATGGTGGCACCGTACTGATCCTTCCACTTCCACACCTCCTCCACGAACTTCTCGCGCCCGAGGTCATGGCGCGACACGCCCTTCTCCTTCTTGAGCTTCTTCTCCACCACCACCTGCGTCGCAATCCCCGCATGGTCCGTCCCCGGCAGCCACAGCACGTTGTACCCCTTCATCCTCCTCCAGCGTGCGATGGTATCCTGCACCGAGCAGGTGAGGGCGTGGCCGATGTGGAGGGTCCCCGTGACGTTGGGGGGAGGAAGCATCATGACGAAACGCTCCTTGCTCGAGTTCTCGTCGGCGCGGTAGAACCCAGCTTTGTCCCACCACTCGTTCCATGCTGCCTCGACGTGCTTGGGGGAGTAGGAGTTGAGCATAGGACGCTTCATGTCCTTCTTCTCTCCGGGAGGCGTGTTGTCGTCCTCCACCACCTCCTCAGGCGCCTTTTCCTTCTTCTTCGCCTCCTTCTTCGGCGCCTTCTCTCCCTTAGTGCTGTCCTCCGCCTCCTTCGCCGCTTTCGCCGCCTGCTTCGCCGCAAACTTGGCTGCCTTCTCCTCCCCCTTGGTCTTCTTCTTCCCCTTGGGGGCTCCCCTCTCAGCCCCGTCCATCACCACCGGCCGTCCCATCGCGTCACTGGGCCCCTTGTAGTCGATGAAGAAGCACGCAGCCTCTCCTTCAGCCTGCTGCATCTTCTCCTCCTCTGCCTTGACAGCTTTCTTGTACTCTCTGATTTGCTCCAACAGTGACACGTCGTACGCTGGCTGCCTAACGATCCCGATGCGAAGCTTGTCCTTTGACGGGGGTCTGACTACCGACACGAAGACTCTGCTGAACGATTCTCCCTGAAGGAGAGGAGCGATATCCTTACAGCTCAGGCCCTTGACGTCCCTGCCGTCTACCTCCAATAGCACGTCCCCTTCCCTCAGCTCTCCTCCCAGACCAGCCGCTCCGACTTCCGGCACTGAGATCACAACGATCTCCTCCTTCCCTTCCTCTCTGTCGATCCGCACGCCGATGCCTGCGGTCGCTTGCTGGTGTGACTGATCGGGAACAAGCGCTGGCTGCCTCCTGATGACAACTGTAGCTCGCTCTCCTTCCTTGCTCCTCACCGCCAGTCGCACGCACCCTCCTGTGGCTTCAAGTTCCGACTTGCTCCTGTGAGCTCACGGTGAGGAGCAGACGAGAGAGCAGGAAGGAGGGCAAATGGCGACCAAGAGGTGACAAGAGGTATGTGAGAGGAGAGAAGAGGAGAGAAGAGGAGAGTAAGAGAGGAGGAGGAGGAGGAGGAGGAGAGTAAGAGAGGAGGAGGAGGAGGAGGAGGAGGAGGAGGAGCAGGGGGGGAGGGAGGGAGGGAGGGAGGTATCAGGGGCACATACTTTTCGATCTCAACGCCGTTGACGCTTTCGATAACGTCTCCACGAGCGATGCGCCCGCTGCAAGCAACATGAGAAGCGAGACGAGAAAATGACTTGAAAAATGATCGAAAGATCGAGAGGATGAGAAGGGAGGATGAGGGAGAAAGGGAGGGAGAGGGAGAAGGGGGGGAGAAAGGAGAAGGAGGGACGATCAACAGGCAAGGAACAGCGCAAAAGAAATTCAAGAACAAATGATAAATCACAGTCAATATCATACGATTGATAAATCACAGTCAACATCAAACGTAAAGAGTCATAGTCCAGATTAATCATAAACAAGTACAGGTCCGACATATTGGAGTAGTACGACATGTGTGGTAAGATATCTTCACACTTCTGCATGCTTGTCTACCAGCACACCATCTTTTCCCTCCTCCTTTGACTTCAGCACATGTAGCATCTCCCTCCTTAATCGTTTCTATCTCCTCCTGCTTTCCTTCTCGGAGATTCTTTTCAGTGATTCCTCCTCCTCTCCCCTCATCTACCTCTGCCGTCCTCCTTCAATATCCTGCGCTTCCTCTTAATCTCTTCTGCTGGTTCTCAGGAACAATCTAATTCCTCCTCTCTGAATTCAAAGGAACAGACAACTTCGCTTGCTCTCCCTAATATTCCCTAGACACATCTGTCTCAGTGAGGAGCGTCAGTGAGGAGAGAGTGTGCTTGTTGTGTCTTCAGCAATGTCTTCAGTATGTCCTCATTGTGTTGTATGTAGTTTCATTTCTCTGATGGCAAGTGTCAAAAATACACAAACACATAGGCAAACAAGGGGCGATTTACGTATCGCACACTTCTTCCATTCCTGCCGTCTTCACCCCTCTCCTCCTCCCTCCCTTCTCCTCTTCACCTTGAGTTTTCTCATCTATCTCCTTCCCACCATCGTCGTCCCCGTCCCCGTCCTCTTCCTCGTCCTAGTTTCCCTGCGCTTGTCGCAACGAGTTCTCCTTACGAGTCAAGGCTCTAGCTACAATACATTCTTCATCTTACCCTTCTCTGCTCATGCATCTTCGTCCTTGTCCTCCAATCCTACTCCTCCCTTCCTCTCCGCCCTCAGATATATATTACCCAGCCAGTTCACTTCCCTCGCAATCCTCGGGTCATTTGGCAAATTCTCTCCTCTCCTTCGGCCATGTTCTCCTCGCTCTCCTTGTCCTCCTCCTCCTCCTCATCATCATCGTCATCTTCATCTTCATCTTCATCCTGTACTCTCTCTTCCTCCTCCCTCACCTCCTCCTTCACCTGATCGCCAAGGCGTCCCCGCGCTTCGGCTTCGCCTCCATCACGTGTCGCCTTTTCCCCAACTACCCCTACCACCTACCCCTATTGAAAATTACCCCTACCCCTACACCTCCTCCAACTCACCCCTGCTTTTCCTTCTTAAGACCCACCCCTTTATCCAACACCCCACCTACCTTCAAGCCCTGACCGACTTCCCCACCCTTCCCTCAAGGTGTTTATGTCATCCAGGCTGTCTCCCCTACTTGCAGAACATTCCAGAAAGTACCCTACCCTTTACCTTGGTTTGTGGGGGACATAGATATGACCGGTAATACCTACCACCCCTGGTTTCTCATGGACTCATACAGGACGACGATGCGACCGTGGGCTCTGCCGTGGGCTGCCGTGGGTACAATGCCGGAGCCTGAGATGTAGAAGATGAAGAAGATGGAGAAGATGAAGATGAAGAGGAGGAGCATGAAGACAACAACATTGCTGTGGGCAGCCTTGCTGCTGATGAAGATGATTGGAGGGAAGAAGACATGCTGCCAGGATGTCTCGGCGGGCAATGAACAGGTTTCCTTCGTTGCTTCTGTATTGTGCTGAGAGGATCAACAAAGTCGGATGATGGTGGTGGTGATGATAATGACGACGACGACGGAGATGATGATGGAGACGATGATGATGATGAAGATGGAGTGATGATGATGATGATGATGATGATGATGATGCCGACCTTGGCGATGGGGATGAAAATGACGATGCTTTCCTAGTTTGCCAGGCATTTCACTCTGGACAACAAGATCGCTCCCTCTGCAAAGATGCAAGCAAAGTCCTCTACTCCTTCTTGGCTGAACTCACCTGGGGCTCAGAGGAGCCAAGATGGACTGGTTTCACTTCGGTTGCGGGGAGGATGCTTCTTCTATTTGGGGAAGCGGCAGCCGACGCCGCTGAAGGAGCTGGTCCTACAGACAATGGAGATGGCAAAGAAGCGAAATGTCACGCTCTCTCTCCACAACGTCACCTACAGGGAACTTGCGGAGTCAAGACAGGCGATGCTAGAGAGGGAGGAGGAAGCGGAGCAGGAGGAGCAGGAGGAGCAGGAGCAGGAGCAGGAGCAGGAGCAGGAGCAGGAGCAGGAGCAGGAGCAGGAGCAAGAGGAGCAGGTGGGAAGGTACAAGGTTTCCTTTGGTAGGGTCTCGGAGTTTAAGTTGCTAGAGCGTCTGCAACAGAGCAAACGACTGGAGAAGGAGGAGAGGGAGAAGGAGGAGAGGGAGGGACAAAACAAGTTTCCTCCTCCCAAGTCGAACACAACAATATCCGAGTCACTGAACAAGCTCGTGTTCTCCCCGACACTGACTGAGACTTTCACAAGGATGCAAAAGAAACTTGGACTTTTCATAGGTGAGGAGAAGCAAGAACAAGAGCAGGAGCAGAAGGGCGAATACGAGGGAGGAGGAGGAGGGAAGGAGGAGCGAGGAGGGTGGAGGGTTTCAGGTGGAGGGTTGGCGGGAGAGGGAGTCAGGATCAAGAGGGAGGAAGAGAGAGGAGAGGAGGAGATGGTGCAGAAGGAGGAGGGAGGAGGGAGGAGGGAGGAGGAGAGGGTGCAGAAGGAGGAGGGAGGAGGGTGGAGGGAGGAGGAGGGGGTGCAGAAGGAGGAGGGAGGAGGGAGGAGGGAGGAGGGAGGAGGAGGGGGTGCAGAAGGAGAAGGTAGAGCAGGAGGGTTGGAAGGGGGAGGAAGCATGAGTCTAACAAGGTCCAAGACCAGGTGATGGGGGATGGAGCATACAACTTGGAGCTGCATCGGAGGGTATGGAAGGCGGTGGCGACGGGAGACTGCGAGCTGTTGGAGGAGAGCTACCGGGCAGGGGCATGCGTCTGCTTCTCCCTAAAGCACCTTGGGCCTCACACGAGGTTCGAGGATAACTTCTCTGGTACCTCCTCCTGCTCTCGCTGTCACCTCTTTCTCTTCTCTCCCCCACTGCCCTTCCCTCCCCGGTCCTCTCCTCCCTCCCCTCCCCTCCCCTCCTCTCCCCTTCCCTCTCCTCTCCTCCTATCCCTCCCTTCCCCTCCCCTCCCTGCCTTCTTCCCTTCTTCTCCTCACCCTGTCACTGTCCGTGCGCCCCGACTCTCTCCGTGCATACTCTCTCCTGTTTCCGTCTCCTGTCTCCCTCAACCTTTCCGCTCCTCAAGTCCTCGAGCAGGCAAGACGCCTCTGCATCTTGCGGCCCACCAGGGAGACTCTTCTATGATACGAATTCTCTTAGGGTGAGAGAAGAAAGGGAAACGGGGGCGGGAGGAGGAGGAGGAAGATGAGGAGACGACGATGAGGAGGACAGAGTGGCAGGGGGACAAGACGAAGAGAAAGACATTGAGTAAGGAGCAGGTGCATGAGCAGGGGCTAGAGTCCTGCAGAAGGAGGAGGAGGAGTAGAGGGGAACAAGGAGGAGTTTGTGTTGATTTTATGTCATGGTGATCGCTCTCGGGCAGGATGGGCGCGAAGGTCAACCAGCCGGATGACGTTGGCAAGACGCCACTGCACAAAGCTGCTTCGAGAGGAAGACTAGGGTGATTGAGGAGGGTGGGGGAGGGGGAGGAGGAGGAGGAGGAGGAGGATGAGGAGGAGGAGAATGACTGGTCGGTAGGGCTGTGGGCGTCTTGTTGAAGAGCGGAGCAGATCCCATGGCTAAGGCGTTTGGACAACACGGGGAAACTCCTCTCCATTCCGCGGTGCTTTGTCCCCCTCTTCCCCCTCCTCCTCGTTCCCTCTCCTTCTCCGCCTCCTCCTCGTTCTCCTCGTTTTCCTCCTCCTTCCCTTCTCCTCCTTCCCCCTTCCCCCTGCTCCTCGGCATCCCCCTCCCATCCTCCCCTGTCGACCCTCACATCATAACCCATCATTTCCTCTTCCTCTTTCATTACCCCCCCCACACGCCTCCCCCGTCTGCCAACCTTCTCCTTCTCTTCTATCAATCGGCTCGTCCTTCTGCTCTCCTCCTTATCTTCTTCGTTTCCGTTCCTCTCTCCTCTTCCCCTTCCTCCACCTCCTCATCATCATCCTCATCCTCTCGTCTCAGGTTCGGAGGCAGTACGGGGGTGCGGCGCAGCTGCTCATCGAGCATGGGGCCGATGTCAACGTGCGATCAACGAGGCTCGAGACGCCTCTGCATGCAGCAGCGACGACGGCAAGCTGAGCTCCCTGCTAGGGAACTGCTGAGGTGGCGGCAGGGAGCGACGTACATAGCGAGGATGCTGCTGATCTTTGGCGCCGACTTGAACGTCAGGTAGGAGGAGCAGGAGCAGGAGCAGGAGCAGGAGCAGGAGCAGGAGCAGGAGCAGGAGCAGGAGCAGGAGCAGGAGGGAAACTTTGTAGGAGGGAAGGAATAGATTTGCTGCTGCTGCTGCTGCTGCTGCTACGGTATGTGGAGTTGGGGTGGCGGAGCAGCAGCAGCAGCAGCAAAAGGCAGGCAGGCAGGCAGGCAGGCAGGGCACATGGCGACAACAAGGAGGACTGCGAGTGTAAAGGGGGGCAAGGAGAAAGGTTGAGTATCTGACAGGAATTGCGACGGACGCTGTCCTCGGGGTCTGGCGCACATGGCGGGAAAGTTGGAACTATATCGATATCTGAACAAGGTGAGAGGAGGAGGAGGAGGAGGAGGACAAAGAGGGGAGGGAGAAAGGGTGGTGGAGGAGGAGGAGGAGGAGGAGGAGGAGGAGGAGGAGGAGGAGGAGGAGGACACAGGGGAAGCGTGAGGAGGAGGGGAGCGCGGAAAAGAGATCGAAGAGGGTCCTTGGTCAAGACGAACTGAGAGACCTGTTTTGAAAGTTTTACACGGGCAAGTTGGACGTAAGATATCTACAGAAGGACTGGGTGGGTCACCTATCCTGACCCTCCTCCTCTTCCTCTACCTCCTCCTCCTCCTCCTCATCATCATCATCATCATCATCATCATCATCCGCAACGTCATCGTCAACATCATGGCGTCCACGAACTCTCTCTTGCTCTTTCCCCCGCTCAGCTTTCCCCTTGGTCCTCAAACTTGATCGCAGGCGCGCAAGAGAACAGCCAACCTCCAGCTGAAGTCTCGCAAGAAGAGAAGGGAGAGGCTTGCCGATAAAGATTGAAACTCTCCCATCTCCTCCCTCCTTCGCCCTCGGCTACCAGCTCCCTTCGTTCTCCATCTCCCCCCCTTCCCCCCCTCCCTCCCTCCCTTGCCCTCTCCCTCTCCTCCCCTTCCCACCCCAACCTCTCCCCGCACCCTCACTCCACCTCTCCCTCCCCCTCTCCGCTGTCTCCTCGCCGCAGCCCCTATCACTTCCATCTCAGGGCCTCTCCCCACTCTCCTGCGAACTTTTCTTCAACTCCTGCTCCGCCTTTTCCTGCTGCTCCAGGTACTCCAACAAGCTCATTGCCTGCTCATCCGACCCCTCACTGTTCTGAATCTTATCCAGCAGCGCAGCAACATCCTCGGAGAGGCTGTACTCAACCTGCTCCTCCCCTGCCCCGTCCCGCTCCCTGTTGTACACCACTACTTTGGCGGCCGCATCCTCGTTGTGGTCTACCTCACTGACTACCTTGTGGTCACTCCGCCATCGCCCGAACTCCTTCCCCTTCTGCCTCGACCCCAGCACCTTCTCCGCATCCTCCTCGAAGCTCAGGCAGCCGACGACTAGCGGAGTCTCTCCCACAAATCGAGTCCCTGCTGCAAGTGAGAGGAGGGAGAAAGCAGGAAGGAGAGGGAGGAAGGTGATGGAGGAGGAGATGGAGGAAGAAGAGGAGGAGGAAGAGGAGGAGCAACTCACGCAAAAGTGCAGAAGACCCCCGGACAAAGAGGACGTCTCCTTCCTTCACCTGCATGCTCTGCACCTCCTTCCCCATGCTCTCCACATCCGGCCCACATTCAGGATCCAGGTCCTCCAGCAGCTGTTCCCATGTTATCGACATTTCAAGCGACGACACGTTCATCTCTACTCCCAACAGCTCCACGATGTCAGTCAGCGTGTCCAAGAACTTCTCATCCTGCTCCTTGACCCTCTCGTGCGCCTGCGGGATCACCTGGACAAGGTCGGGCTGGTCGCTGGCCTGCAGGAACAGAAAGGCAGTCAAGGAGGAGGAGGTAAACTGCCATGGCAGCGCTTGTTGCTTCTGGAGGAGCAGCCCTGTGCACCTTCCCAGCTCGTCCTTTGCCCTGTGGAGCGGCTTGTCGTCGGAGCTCCTCTGGTACAGCTCGTTAGCGAGCTTCAGCATCTGCTCGGATTCGAAGAGGCGAACGAGGGGGCCGGACTTGTTGAGCAGGAGATAGTCGAACATCCTTCCGACTTTGTTCATCCCACGGTCCTTGAGAATTTTCTTGTCCGCCTCCTTTGTGAATCTCGCGGGGTTCTCGTTCCACATGTTCACCATCCTTGAAAAGGAGAAGGCTTCGTCCTTACGTGCTAGCAGGTCCTTCGCCTCCTGTCTCGCTGCCTGCGCCCCCATCAAGCCCCGTATCAGGCAGTATCCGCTCTCATGCAGCTGATCCCTCAGCGCCGCTCTGCTGCTCTCTGTCGACATCGATCTCCAGCCCCCATGTCCTCCCGTCCCTCCAGCCACCAGCTTGCACCCTCCCAAGACTCTCGCTCGACACCAGGTTCTTGCAACTTGAAAGCTTATCATGCCTGCTGCTGCTGCCGCCGCTGCTGCTGCTGCCGCTGCCGCTGCCACTTCCTCGTCTGCTCCTGCTCCTGCTGCTTCTCCTGCCTCTACTACTGCTCCTCCTCCTCCCTCGTCTACCTCCTGCTTCCACGCTTGCTCCTGTGTCACGTGTTCAGGGGCTACTACCCCCATATTTTACCATGAATTGGCGATAAGGGATGGGTGGGGTGGAAATCTCAAGCAGGGAGACGCATGGCGTATGCCACGACTGTGGTGATGGTGGCAGCGATGATGATGACGAAGGAGACGGGGGAGAACATGGCGAAGAGCGAGATCAGAATGCTAGGAGGAGGAGGAGGAGGAGGAGGAGGAGGAGGAGGAGACAGGGAGATCAGGCTGCAAGGAGGAGGAGGAGGGAAGGCTCGTGGTACCGCATGCCCGTGGACGGATGTTACGGAACCTTCAGCGCCCCCGCCGAATGCGTTTCATACCGTCAAAAGATCTCCTGCACTTCTACCGCCGATGCTATCCATCCCCTCCATCCCCTCCTCCCCTCCCTCCCTCCGCTTCCTCCACTATCTCCCTCTTCTATCCAGTTTCAGAGGAGGCGCACGGAAAAACAACCAGGAGCGCAAGAACAAACGCGACAAATTTGCTTCTCAGGTGTCGGCCACGTACGACGTTGAGAAGATTGAGAAGAAGAAGAAAAGCATCAAGAAGTTTGTCAAATTGTCCGATCTCCCGACCGAGGAACAGGATCGGATCATCAACAGCATTCCAAACATGACCAACGCTGAGATACTCGCATACTCGTTTCCGAACCCCAAGAAGGTTTGAGCGGATCCGGTCATGGAGATGTAGACTGACAGTGTGACGATTCACAGAAGGCAAGGCAGCAGCAGAGGAACAGGAGGAGTTCGATGGTGAGCATGAATGAGCCGTGTCACGTGTGTTATACTGATGCAAGTTGTGCTGTAGATGAAGAAACAACAGAGAAGAGAAAGGCGACAAAAGATCAAAGATCTCCGTGCAAGAGAATGAGATCCAACGCAATGCTTCGCCTTCGTAGCGAAGTTGTTCGGCCCCAAGGTCATTTGGGCAGTTCAAAAATCGAGTCACCACGGACGATCGCCGTCGTTTCTTTCCGTGGCGTGTAAATTTAAATCAGAACAAGAGAGGCTTTGTTGAAATGACAACAAACTCTTCACGCTACCTCAATCGCCCCCCCTCCCTACAGCTCTCCACCTTGACTTTCAAGACTTGACAACTCTGCCCCACAGCTTGTCCGAGGGCGGTTGCTTCGCCATGTTGACATGAATGCAATCCTTCCCTCCCTCCTGTGTCACAACCCAGCAGCAGTCCGTGGCGTACACGTTGCCCTTCAGCTCTCCCTCCAGCAGAACCGCCTCCCTGCATGTCGCCCTGATGTAGCTCTGCCTGACAGTCACATCCACATCCTTAGACGTCGCGTCTGGCGGCAGTTCAATGAAGACGTCGATCATCTTCTCGTTCTCGTTCCACGTGTGTCCTCGCGACTTGCCGCTCACCCTCTGTGCCCTCGATGTCAACTTCTTGAGCCTCGGGTCGTCTTTCTCATAGACCTGCAGTCATGCGGCGTCAGGAGGAAAACGAGCAGGACAAGAACGAAGAGAGAGTACAGAAGCACAAGCACGATCTGCATTATCAGCATCATTATCATCACCACTGTAGTCTCCATCTCCGTTATAATCATCATCATCATCATCGTCATATCTTTCTCCATCACACTGAGCAGCAGCAGCAGAAGCTGGTGCTGCTTCTACAACAGCAGTCGACCTCTCGTTCGGTTCCGAGCGGAGTCTGCTTAATGTCGAGGTCCTTGACCGAAGATCCGCTCTCGAGATCTTTCGTGTACTTGTTATAGATCTGTCATGATGACAAGACAGGCAACGAGCAGCAGTCATTCGTCAACCACTCCAGAGCTACCAATCACAGCACCTCGTTCTCCGGCTCGTCGCTCGAGGTGTAGTTCCCAGATCTTGAAATCTTCTTCCACTGGGGCTCGGAGAAGGACAGGAGCTTCAAGGTGCAGTCCACCACAGCATCCGGTGCGATCCTTGGCGGTGCTCCCTGCTTCCCGAAAGCATACTCCGGCCCGAACCTAAACTCCGCTCTCTCCCCCCTCTCCATCCACGGGATCACCGTCTCCCACCCCAGGATGGCATCGCTCTTGTCCAGCCCGAGCTCGAACTCGAAAGCGTTCTCCTCGTCGAGGCTCTCATCTATCAGCCCCTCGCTGCTTGACAAGGAGTACAGCACCCGGACAACGTCCCCCGCGAACGGGCGCTCTCCCTTCACTCCCTTCTCAAGCACTCTCTTCAGACACCCTCCGTCTCCCGTCACGTCCTCCCATCCATCATCTCGCAGAGCCATCCTTGCATCAAAGAAAGATCCTCTTCTCCTCCCCGTCGCTGATGTCACTATCATCGGACAGGTCCTTGACAGTTGCCGGGTGCCACATACCCTGATCGGGGGAACGAAGCAGGTCGAGAGAGAGACAGAAGACAAGATGGAGAGGAAGAGGAGGGAGCGGGGGAGGCAGGTCTTGGGCGTGCTCTCGATCATGACCCTCCTCTTCGCCTTCTGCATGGCAGCTGGGCCCCTGAGAGCGAACTGATCAGCAACCATGGCGAGCAGCAGCCGGCATGCCCATGGGGCGGATCTGGTCAGAAAATGAAACAAGTTGAATAGGGGGTGGGGGTTGTGAAAGAGGGGGTACTTGTATCCTGATATCCATATGAAACATAGGGAAAGGAGGGGTACACGAGGGGGATAGTGGGGGTGAGTGTCGGTAGGGTAGGGTGTATGAAGGTGGCGGATAGAAGTTAAAAAGCTGAAGTTATGCTGCTGGAGCCTTGAGGTCACACAGCAAGACGAGTAGAGAGGAGAAGGAAAGGAGAGAGGAGAAGAGAGAAGAGGAGAGGAGAGGAGAGGAGAGGAGAGGAGAGGAGAGGAGAGGAGAGGAGAGGAGAGGAGAGAGAAGGAGAGGAGAAGGAGAGGAGAGGAGAAGGAGAAGGAGAAGGAGAAGGAGAGGAGGAGAGAAGGAGAGGGGAGGGGAGGGGAGGAGAAAGGAGACTCTGACAAGGGCAGAACCTTGTGAAGTAAGGTATTAGGGTATTGGAGGAAAATTGAATTCAAGAAAATATCTACGTCCGCGCAAAGAGTGACAGACAGAGAGACAGAGAAAGTTCAAGAGAAAGAAACATCGTCCAGACCCAACACAACATGTGTAGATGTGGTATCGCCGCTGTCATCCCCTTGACCATCGTCAACATGGTGTTTGGCCTCGGTCTTCTGATCGCTGGGATCGTTGCGGCTACGTACAAGATCCCAAACACCTGCTCGGGATCATCATATTACTACACGGGAAACAATGATGGTTACCAGAATGGAGGATACAGCAACAGTGATGGGTATTCATCATCCTACAACTCAGGATACAGCAGCACAGGCTCCTCTCCCAGCACCTCCCCGCAGTCCTACTCCTACTCGTACTGTGAGGCGGACAGGAAGTCTGCCAACGATCTCCTCCTCGCCATGGCGCTCATGGGAACCTTGCCTGCTGTCTTCCCGCTGGTGTTCGGGGTTTTGGGCATCGTTACGAGCGTGTACAAGAACAAGATTGTTGCTGGCATGCATCTTGGCTGCCTGATCTTGGGAATCGTACTGTCTATCATCGGCGTCCTCGTGCTGCTGGTTGTTGCGTCTACTACTTCAGCCTACTGCGGTAAGCGACTCTGCTTCCCCTTCCTCCACCACCACCACTCCCTCCTTACTCGCTCGCATGTCGCTATCTCCCCTGACTCTTGCCCCTCCCAGACTACGTGGAGCATGCCAGCACGACTGAATTCTGCAAGAGATACGTGGGCAGCTTGTGGGCCATCGTAGCCCTCAACATCGTGCTCGCCATCTACCAGGTCGCCTTCTCCATCGTCATGTGCGGGCTATGCTGCCAGCCCGATGAGTGGGCAGGGAGCAGGACCATCGTAGCTGAGACAGTACGGCCTGCCGTACCCATCGCTCAGGTCGCCGGCACGCTGCCGGCGGGGGGCGAGGGCGGAGGGTACCCGCAAAGGGAGCTGATTGGAGTGACAGAGTATCCAGTAGCAGAAGGAGCGGGAGCGGCTTACCCTGGAGAAGTCGCTGTTGCATATGCGACCGCTGTCGAAGAAGGAGGAGAAGCAGGGCCAAGGGGAGAGGAGGGACAGACGCCAATGTATCCGTAAACTTGAAAGTTGCCACTAAACTGCCGCCGCAGTCCCAGGAGCAAGGATGATCAGGGCTTGTTCATCATGCCCACTGGCATCTGGTACTGATAACCCCAGGCCTGAGCCGCTGGCGGCGGAACTTCGGAAGCGTGATACTGAGACAACCGGGTCATTCGGCGGCGGATCATGGTAGAGAAAGAGGATAGAAGAAGGAAGTTTGATAGACTGATAAACACTGATAATGCGCCGTGCGTCGTGCCGTGCCGTGCTCTGCTGAAAGTGATGCTGTAAAAGTCCGATATGGGAGTTTTAATGCTCGTACCATGTGGCATCATCCACTGTACTAGTGGCAGCGAGTACATCAGCAATCACTGACAGTACCAGTGGGACTGAGCTCGGACTGGAGTGGGTCAGCGGTCTGAGTATTGGAACGGAGGCTGAAAGTTTGGTACTGACGCAATATGACGCATATCAAACTAGTATAGGATATTCAACACTGACCTGTTACAAGTTACATGTACCGGGTGCTGTACACATCTCAGTCGCCAGTAGTATCTCACATACATAGACACTCAGACCGGAGTGCCTCCCGTACCGTTTATAGTAAACAAAACTTAACTCCTGTCACTCTGGAGTTCAGTGTTCACAACTGTTGAACACTGAGCAGTGTAAATTTCAGGCTAGCTGTTTGGTTGAGAATTGATTCCCCACTGACTTCATCGGAACTTCCGAACGTATGGTCCACTGACTCTGAGGCTGCTCTCCGACTCGTCAGATCGCCCCGGTGCGCCGGTATTCCGGGCCGGGGCCCATTCCAACTGCCTGGCTAGTAGTACGGTCAGTAACGGCTCAGTACGGTAGTCAGTTACTGACTACTAGTAACCGTTGAGTTGAACTAATCGGACTCCGTGAGGCCCGGGCCGAGTCCGACACTCAAACGGTTTTTACCCGGTACTACCGTAGTACCGGTAGAAACGGTACTCCCTTTATTACTCAAAGTTAAGTAAAATCAGAACGGCGAGAGTTCGTGCGGCCTCATTATCCTGCGACGGGGAGCCACCTGAAAGGCCGCAAAAGGAGCCTTAAAACAACGGGGGTGGGGTCACTACCCCTACCCCTCCCTTGACCATTGACCTCCTCGCCCCTCGGATGACAACAGTACTTCCTGGACCCCACAAATACCGTAGGTGGGTAGTATCACCCACCCGTAGGATCCCCCAGCTGAGAAAGTAGTAGATAGGGGTCTCCGCTCCTCAAGGTTACGTTCCCACCAGCGGTGACCCTGCCCCCGCCCTGCTCCCTCCCGCCACCCCCGCCCTCAGTCCCTCCCCCCCGCCCGCCTTCCCCGCCTCTGCCCGTCCTCCGAACTAAGTCCCTTCCCTCCCTTTTCTCCTACCCTCCCTCCCCTTCGCCCTCCAAGACTCTACAGTCAGCACACCTGGTCTCTGCTCCTGCTCCCGCTGACCCTACCCAGCGGAAGCTGCTCCTGCTCGTGCTCCGATTCACCCCACTCTTATCATCCCCCCCCCCCCCCTTTGCTCTTCTCTTCTTCTTAGGAACCCTCGCGACTTGCCTGCTACTTCCGCGATCGCCTCTAGCATCACCCGGCTAGCATCACTAGAGCTCAAAAGTTTTCCAGGAAGGTATCAAACATGTGCAGATGTGCTATCGCTGCTGTTCTTCCCCTGAGCATCGTCAACATGGTGCTTGGCCTCGGTCTTCTGATCGCTGGGATCGTTGCGGCTACGTACAAGATCCCAAACACCTGCAATTCCATCGGCTCAGGCTACAACAACAACAAAGGATCTTTCAACTCAGGATTCAACTCGGGATTCACCCCCGGGTACAACTCGGGGTATGCAGCAGCATACAGCGCTGGAGCTCAGGCGGCATACAACCAGGGGTACCATGCGGGATTCAACACCGGGTTCAACATGGGGTACTGCTCGGGCTACTCTTCCTCCAATCAGTACTACTACACCGGGCAAGCTGCAGCGTACAACTCTGCTCAAACCTCTGCCGGCTACATCCCAGGAACCTACAGTAGTGGATTAACACCGGCTTATGCTAGTGCCGGCTACTACTCGGCCTACCAATCTGCCTACGCCACCAGCGCCTCTCAGTACTACAACTCAGGCTACTACGGAGGAGCTTACAGCAACTATCAGTGTGAGGCCTACAGACAGTCAGCCCAGGACGTTCTCCTGATCTTGGCGCTCATGGGGACCATCCCTGTGGTCTTCCCCCTTGTCTTCGGGTGTGTGGGCATCTTGACTAGTATCTACAAGAGCAAGATCGCTGCTGGCGTCAACCTCACCTGCCTCATTCTTGGCACCATCGCTTCCACTGTTGGGGTGATCATGCCCACCGTGCTTGCGTCGACGGCGTCGGCATACTGTTGTGAGTACTCCATGCATGCATGCGCTTCATTCCATGCTCTCAATGCTGCCTCCTCGTGTTCGATCTCCCTCGCGTCTCGCTGATCCCTCGCATCTCACAGCTTCGTCCTACGTGTCATACGACAACAGCTTCTGCGGCAGGTACGTGGGCAGCACGTGGGCTATCGCCTCCCTCAACATCATCCTATCCATCTACCAGCTGGCCTTCTCCATCGTCATGTGCGGGCTATGCTGCCAGCCCGAGGAGTGGGAGGGCAGCAACTCGGTTGCTGCTGAGGGAGCGTCGAACGCTATGCCCATCGCGCAGGTCGCCGGGACCCTGCCCTCGGCAGGAGGCCATGGGGTAGGGATGGTGCCACAGTATCCCCAGGTGGCAGGGCTAGGAGGCTACTACCCTCATGGAGGGGGCATGGCTGCTGGAGGAATTCCTCATCCTCATGCTGGTCCGTTTGGAGGAGGGGGGCTCTACCCTCCCGCAGGAGCCCTTTACCCTCCTGTGACAAGACCAGAAGTGTTCTACCCTCAAGCGGGAAGCGCAAGGTTACACAATGGTGTTCCCAATGTCAGCTCGTTGCAGCAGCAAGAAGCAGACTATGAGATGGCTCTGAAGATACAGAGAGAGGAGGAGAGGAGGATGAAGCAAGGGTCGAGAGGAACTTCAGTGAACGAACCCCCCCACGTGCGGTCGTCCGGCACGCCATTGACATCGGGGGCTGTGGAGCAAGAGTCGCTTCTTGGATCAGAGTTGCGTCCTGACATGTGGAAGCATGAAGAAATTGTCAACGGTGAGCTGGCAGTAGCGCCGAGGACGTCGGAGACGGATCGGTCTCCGAGTGCGGCATCAAGGACAGAGGAGGCGAGCCGGGAACTTGATAAGATCCGTGGTCAATCATCGGAGACATGAACAAGCCCTGGTCCTCCGATAACAGACTACTCAGTCAAGAGTGCACAGTGCATGTGTATCAGTGTTGGATCATCAGATGATAAACGGTTTGTGGGATCGGACGGACGGTACCGTACCGTGCAGTGACTCTGACGGTCTTGAATCACCGACTTCCGAGCGCCGGCCCCATCCGAGTCCCCGAGGCCCACGGTGGCCGCAGTAGTACGGTAGTGCTGATCGGATCATCATCCGAGTCGGATCGGATGATCAGTCGGATCACCGATCCGATCATCATGGCATCGGATAGTTTGCAGTCTCGAGCTTTCTGTCAGTGCACTGTGCTCCCCCCGCCGCCCAGTTACCGTGACTCGGAGTCTGTGATGAGTCGGACTGTGGCCGCAGTATCATACCGTACGGGGGGGCGAGTTGGTTGAACTTGAAGGCGCGGCCGTGACGCCGCCGGTACGGCCCACCGGCGTACCGTACGCCGCCGTCCGATCCGGTCCGATCACAGGCCGGGCCGCCCGGTCGCCCGGCCCCCGGCGGTCACGGTACTACGCCGCCGGTAGTACGGCGTACCGGCGCCCGGGGTACTAGTCTGAGCGGCCTGCCGCCCCGCGGGGCCGGTCGCCCGGCTTCAAACTTCTGGACTGACCCGGTAGTGCCGCGGTCCGACCGTCCGGTCGCGGCAGCTGGGATACCGGACCGTACAGTACGGTGCCGCTGTGCTCGGAGTCATCCGAGTAATTGTAGTCAGGTCACCAGGTTTCTCGGGCCGCCGGATACCATGCTTAGCTAATTTTCTTTCCTTTTCCTCTGATCTCAAGATTTACTTCATCTTTACTGACTACCCCTCAGGTTTCACATCGGGGTTCACTACCCACCCTACACAAAGTATCGATATTATGCTCATTTACAGGGGTAGAAAAAGAATGAATAGGGGTTGGATAGGAACTTTTATTTTGCTGACTACCCCAGGCATCCCCCTTCCCACCCCTTGTTTTTGAGGTCTTTCAGAGGGGTAAAGCTGTGGACTCTAGGTGGTGGTTGGGATTTTATTATTCTAAAACATTTTACTGGAAAAATTGTTTTAAACTTTTTGTACCTATGGACAGCCAGGGAATGAGGGGTGGGGGGATATCCTGACTCTCTGCTGTGAGAGATGTACAAGGGTGGGGTACTCATTTTAGTACCAGTGTGTGTCTCGTATTTTAATTGTCAGGGTTTCTGCTACCTGTAATTTTACTTATTTTCAATTCGATCAGTGCGTCCTAGTGATGGGGCGCTATGAATTCGGAGGGGTGGTAGGTATGACCGGTTGTGACCTGCAGCCTGAAATCCCACAAAGTACCCCGTCGACTCGAGAGAACTACCCATCTAATTCAATGGACCCCGCATTCATTACACAGACCACCCGATTTCATTCGCAAAGTACCGGTACTTTATTCATTGTTGCACCACTACCCCATCTGTTGAGCAGACCATCTCCTTGGTCCTTAACCTGCACATATAGGGTAGGGTACTATACCCTACCCTGATACTGCCGAAACGACAGTGCCAAGTGCCATGGAAATGGGGGTCCTGGTAGCCCCACCCCCAAGTTCGACCAGGATCAATTATGGAAAGATGTGGTAGGGTAGAAACGCGTCAGAGGGGGGGGGAGATAAAGGACTGGCGTCTCCTCTCACTGACATCCACCCGCCATGCTGCGCGCCGTGATCGCCTTCGCCGCATGCGCTGCTGCCTCCGCCTTCGCTCCCACCCTTCCCAGCGCTGGAGTCAGGGCCAAGACCTCCGCTGTCTCTGGTAAGTTTCGTCTGTGACATCTTGAGGCTTTGCGGGAGAAACATGGGATGGAGAGGAGTAGGAGGAAGCCTGGATCGTTTTACAGCACGCACACTTACGCGCGGTTTGCAGGCATGAAGATGCAGCAGATGTCCCAGTCCGTCCCCTTCCTCCCCCGCCCCGCCGCGTTGGATGGCAAGATGGTCGGAGATGTTGGATTTGACCCGTTTGGCTTCTCCTCCAAGTACGACATCAAGTGGCTCCGTGAGTCTGAGCTCAAGCACGGCCGTGTTTGCATGCTCGCCTCCTTGGGATACATTGTGCAGGAGTTTGTTCACCTTCCTTTCGAGGCCACCTCCAACCCCGTTGGATCCGAGGCCTTCTACCAGGTTCCCGCTGGCGGACTCTGGCAGATCTTCGCCTTCATCGGCGCCATTGAGCACTTCTCCCACAACTTTAAGATGTCTGGATCCACCATGTTCTCTGATGGACGCACCCCTGGAAACTTTGGATTCGATCCCCTTGGCTTCGGCAAGAACCCCCAGGCCCGCGCTCGCTACGAGCTCGCTGAGCTCAAGAACGGACGCCTTGCCATGCTCGGATTCTCTGGAATGATCCACGGATCTTTCATCACCGGCAAGGGCCCCATCAACGCTCTCCTCACCTTGGACTGGCACCAGAAATTCAACTAAATGTAGCTAATACTAGAATGATTAAACCCTGAAATGTACAAAGTCATAGTGTGGTGCTTGTGGTTTTGCTCAATAGTACTCCTTGTACATGCATGTTTCTATTGCCTCATTGAACTCTTCTCTAGAGTGTGGCATTGAGTGATTTATCGAAACGGATTCGACCTCATCTTCCCTGACAGGACATCCTTTGCTTCGTTGACCTGTGAGACAACAAAAAAAATCATGTGAGCAACTGCTGGAACCATCCAGACAGGCGAGGACAAGAGCAAAGTCGTTGTGCAGACCTTGGATGCCAAGTAAGGGGAGCCGCCTCGGTCGGGATGGTTGAGAATCATAAGTTTCCTGTGCACCTTGGCAACAGTATCCTTGTCTGCTGACGCGCTGAAAGACAACACTCAGCGATGAATGCGAATTCCCCACATAGAGAGATGAACATGGCAAACTTGATGGTGTAGCCGCTACTGTCTCACGAGTGGAGACTGATACACACCTTATTCCTAGAATCTTGGCTGCCTCCGTGCGGCTCATGGGATCCTCGAATCCCTTGTCAACTCCTCCTCCTATTCCCGCCATCCCCTTCAAGTGTTGGAAAATTCCTGTTCCTGCTGCTCCTCCGCTCTGGGCCTGTTGAGGGCAACTCAGCTAACCAACAAACACTCTGGAAGGGAGCAACGAAGAAAGATACCAGCGGAGAAAGAAACCAACTAAGAAAGAAAGAAGACGGGATGACAACTCACATGTCGGAGAATGGCTCTTCCAGCGAGGGCGGTAGCCGCAACGCCAGCAGCAATCATGAACGCAGACGCCTGCCAAACTTTGACTCACCAAAGAATTCCAAATGGATGAGGATGTCTTGACTTACCATCTTGCTGTTTCCTTCCTTGGGTTGAAACGAACCTCAATGGTCTGTGGGCTGCACAAACTGGGTGAGAACTCCAGTGCCAAGAACATTGCTTCTCCTGTCAACTTAACACACAGACACGTTTCTTCACATACAAGGAAGGCATAATAGACCGCTACCAACAACCCGCACACTTGTTTTGAAAGCGGATCAACCCTCAGAACACCCTCCCTTGACCTCCCCATCTTCATAAAACTGCCATTTATCAGATGCCTTCTTGCAGCTATTCTCAAATACTACCAAGACCTTCTCCCTCAAATACTACCAAGACCTTCTCCCTCAAATACTACCAAGACCTTCCCCCTCAAATACTACCAAGACCCCCCCCTCTCACCCCCCTCATACTGCAAGATAGTGTTTACTTCTAGCTTGATCAATCATGATCTTGTAGATTCCTTTCCTTTCACATCACTCTTGGTAGGTCCAAAGGACCACCCCTCATGCCAACCCTCCCTGCTATCAGCTTTCAATGCTCCTGTGAAGAAACCTGCGCCCATCACAACGCTTCTTTCATCTCACAGGTTTAGCTTCGAGTGAACGACGGCCAAACAACACACCGTCCCCACTTTCAAACTTTCCAATCGGCCGCTTATCCTTGGAAGGATTCTCTTGATTACACTTGCTGCCCTTGTTTGCTTCCTTCCTAACATCGTGTCTCATGTCCTGCTCGGTCCTTCTCACTTTCGCTTTCTGGTCATATTATCTACTGTTCTCCGGTTTACTCCCCCAATCTTCCTGTTTTTGATGTACCCTCTCTCCCTTCCTTTCACTGTTCGTGCTTCTACTCCGTCCTCTTCCTTCCCCCTCCTCTGCTCTCCTCATCTTCACTTCCTCTCCCGGACTCTTGTGTTGTCATAGTCTACCCAGTACAACCACGTCGCTCCTCGCCTCCTTGCCCCCCCTCCTCCTCTCGCGAGTTGGCTCCATGGAGCATGGAGAGAAGCACGGGAACGTGTAGGGACAAATCCAACTAAATTTAAGAAGAATTCACTTAAATTCAGATACTTTAATCTTAAAATTGGCAAAATCAGCAGGTTTATGAGCTAGTTTTGGTCAGAATTCAGACAAAATAAGCTAAATTAACCATTTCTAACTTAATTTTCACTCTATGTCCCTTTACTTTAGAACTAAAATCAATGACACTTTACTTATATTTAACTCAAAAATGAAATTTAACGTTAATTTTGGCAATTCTCCCTTTCCCCCATGGCAGGAAGTTTTGTCGGAGGGGATGCAGTGGAAGGAGAAGAGGAACGTGGAGAGGGAGAGGGAGATGAGGAGAGATCTATAACTTCGAACAAGTCAGAAGTCCCAGCACCATGGGGCATGAGGCAGCCATCGTCCGCGGGCGACCCCGCAGTGGTTTGTCCATGAACGTATAGGGTGATCTGGTCCCAAGAACGACCCTGTCATATCTGATCTATACAGATGTAGATGGTCGCATGCGAGGTATGCTGATCACCGCAGCAGGTGTCTTGGAAAATGCTCTCTTGACGCTGAAGGATGTGGCACACGCACAAAGCAGCGGTTGAGGCGGCGGTCCCCAACCGCGAGCATGACCTCTTGAAGGATCACTTGATCTTTGACACCTCTAGCGAGCAGGTTTGCACTCTCATGCTGCTCCTCGTCTCTCCTCCTCACGCTAGTCATGCAGGGGAAACGTGAGCTTGCCAAGGAAGCCATCGCTGCCATCAACGGAGATGCCAAGCTCCGAGAGAGGTTGGGGGGAGCAGAAGGAAGGAGAGCGATGGAGCTGAAGAAGATGATCGAGCACTGTAGATCTTCTGTGCGGATGGAAGCACGATCTCTGACATGCTCTCCTCATGTGCAGACCAAACTCTCATCGGCCGTCACAATGGCAATATTATCGCCACCATCCAAACTGGAGCAGAGGGCCAAGAAAGGCTGGACTTAGCAGGCCTTGCGACGGAGGACATGATGAAACGGCTGAAGGACTTCAGCAGCAATGCTGGACGGCTACGAAACTCCGTGGAAGAGCTTCGCAAGGCCACGAGGCCTCTTGAGCTGGCGGAAGCAAGCATTACTGGAGGGATCGGCTGCATTGAAGCACTTTCGACGCTGGTATCTAGCGTGAGGAAGATGCAGGAGCTGCACATAGCGAGCTCGTCCAAGGCGGAGTACTACAAGCAGATCAACGACTGCGTCATCACCTGCAAGGAAGCATGGTCGAAGCTGCAGGTTGCTGGCAAGCATCCCAAGTTAGCCGCGGTGAAGAAGGCCATGAAGGAATGCTTCGCTACTGTATCGGTGAGCTGCCGGTCGGAGTTCAAAGCTGCCCAGCAAGCAGCGTCAAAGGAACATGGCCAACAGGTTGACAGAGAGGTGAGGACGAACAGGGAGGAGGAGGAGGAGGAGGAGGAGGAGGAGGAGGAGGAGGAGGAGGAGGAGGAGGAGGAGGAGGAGGAGGATGCAGCTGCTGACCCTGTTGAGCAGGTGCTGGCGTGTGCTGCACAAACCTGCCTTGCTGTCGACCGGGAGCTTGTGAAGGAGATCAT